TAGCTACATGCGGCTGTGGAAAACAGCTAAACATGAGAGGTTGTTGGACAAAGTTTGTGTTCTCCATTCTTTAAGTATCGGTTTGGCACCGGGTAAAACCTAAACGATACCCATCCCTAGTCATAAGCCCCGCCCTCTGTTCAACAATGGTCATTTACAGTGGACATGGATATCCTCTTTTACTCTCCTTTTAAACCATCTGTCTAAAATGTGAACATTGGCATTCTTGAAAGAGTGACCTTTGACCTTGCAGATGTAGAGCTGTCCAGGTGGCTCTTCAGTGTTGCACCGTGTGTGTATTGAGTGGCTGTTTGGTTTCTCCAGTACAGAGGCCTGAGGACTACCTGCTGCACTGTACAGCATTAACTATGATGTTAAGCTTGTGTTTGGAAGTTTGTTTGGTTTTTCCCCCTTAGGATTCCCCAGGGGGCGTGGCTTGTCAGGGGGGCGTGGTTGGGTCTGGGGACGGGACTGGGTCTAAAGAGCACTGGGATGTTGTGCTTTGAGAAATTTCTCCTGAATTTTCTGAGAGGCTGAAGAAGCCTCTTGGATGAGAGGTGAAACATCCTTATGAAACTCAAAGAAGTCGAGTCGCTTCATTTCTGAGCTCCTCAGACTGCCATGAACCCGCTGCCTGAGGGCCCCCGCTGCCTGAGGGCCCCCGCTGCCTGAGGGCCCCCGCTGCCTGAGGGCCCCCGCTGCCTGAGGGCTCACACAGACAGCCAGCACAGAATATTTGATCGTGTACAAAAGCACCAGCACCTTTGATAAGTGATGGAAGGATGCACAATTACAATGAAAGTCTTTTTCACAGCAGCGTATTGAATAAATAAAATAAAGGACATGGCAGTGGCCACTTTAGTAGCGCCTGCATTCTTTGAGTGCGATTATGACTAAATAGATAATAAATAACAGGCAGTCTTAATGTTTAATTAAATGTCCAATGAGTGTAAGGTGTGCCTGTGTCCCTGCAGGGTTCTGTGGCATACGTTCCCCAGCAGGCCTGGATCCAGAATTCCTCTTTAAAAGACAACATAATCTTTGGTCAAGAGAGGAGACAGTCCTGGTATCAGCATGTGGTGGAGGCATGTGCCCTTCAGCCTGACCTTGACATACTTCCTGCAGGAGATGACACTGAGATAGGAGAGAAGGTATGAGCCCATAGTACACGTCTTTGTGTGTAAATTAATGTCGACACAAAACAAGTTGGCCTCGGAGAACGGAAAACAGTTTTCGCTCTGCAGTCCTATGAAAACATCGTTACTGTGTCTTACTTATTAAGAGGTGAGTAAAAGCCGAGTGTTGCTATTTAAATGCAGTTTTCTGCAATTAACTGAGCATGTGTTGTGTCGGTTTGTAGTATTGTATTAAACCACACCCGAGGCCATCAGTCTCCCCAGGAGTGCACATCTCAGGAACTTGTTATCGTGGTCAGACGGTGCAATGGGAAAAGGAAAACCCAAGAGCTACATGTCAGACTGCAGGCCTCAGTCAGTGTGTTACATGTTAGTGAGATCATGACTGTACGATTAGCAAAGACTCAGCAGGTATTTGGAGGAGATGCCCGATAAAGCTTTGATGAGGATGTGACCCCCAGGAATTCACAGGGAACTGGTTTCTTGTTGAGGTGTCTGGTTACTGAGCGAGACCACAGACAGTAGTTTGGACAGACTTGTTGGTGTGTCACTGAGTCTTTTGTTGCTGTTTGATGACACCGGCAGCATTTCTACAATGATGAGCTAGCCTGCTATACTGTCTGCCTCTGACCGTCTGTCTGCAGGGAGTGAACCTGTCAGGAGGTCAGAAGCAGCGGGTGAGCCTGGCCAGGGCCGTCTACTGTGATCGTGCCGTCTACCTGCTGGATGACCCGCTGTCTGCTGTCGATGCTCATGTAGGGAAACACATCTTTGATCAAGTCATCGGCCCACAGGGACTGCTGAAGGACAAGGTGTGTGTGTGTGTGATGGAGTCATATACATTAGGGGTGGGGGAAAAAATCGATACTGTGTAGCATCGTGATATTTTGTTTGCTAATAATGTATCGATACAGGGACAGCAGAAATCGATATTTTGTTACAAACAATTTTTTCGTGCACTGGAACTCTGACTTCAGAGCATGTTGATCCTTTTTCTGAGCAAGAATCCTGACATTCCTTCACTGTCCAAATGTGTTTAACTTTTTTTTGGCAGCAATAAACATGAGTGTTTACTTATTTTAATTTAAGACATGTTTTATTTTAATTAAGTTTAAAACTTTTTTTATTTAATGT